ATTCTTGCTGTCGAATACAAAGAAGGAAAGCTCACAAGAACAATTCCCATGAAAATATTTATAGAAAAGGCAGAAGGAAGCTATATTACGCCTGTGAGAAAGTCAAGATTCCAGGTCAGTACAAATAACATTGCTGATTCTTCTTTGGATTTTATTAAGAATCTTTAAATATTGGCGCACCAGACTAGACATGGCAAGAATATTCAAAGAAAGGATGAATAGTAGCGTTATAAAATAGGTAATGTAGATTATGGCAACATAAATTATCTAGCGCTACACATTGAACTAAGTTTCTTAGCAGAAGAGTTAGCATCTGATTTAATATCTTTCCAATTTATGTCACGAATGATAAAAAAATAGCAGTTTCGTTTTGGAGGCGATACAATTAACAAGCCATTCCCTGCCCCATTTAACAATAGATTGTAGGTCATTTTTGGGATCAGCTGCCAATTTGACCTTATCGAAATATTAATTCGTGTCATCGGCATATATACCAAATTGAGAACAGATGACGTCCAGGCGGTCATTGTTGAAAATTATGAATAACGTAATTTTAAAAATAGAGCACTAAAGGACACCTGAATTAATACAAAAAGATCTAGACGAGTGGCCATTCAAGACAACATTAATTTCGCGAATTGATAAGAAAAACTGAATCAGTTCAAAATGTGCCCAGAAATGCTATAACCTTACAACTTGTGAAGAAGACCACTATATTTTTTTAAGTATTTCACCCCAGCCAAGGCGAGAGTGCCACTAGCACGCAAGGGGGTTACAGAGAGTGGGCCCAGGTGTAAAGAGGGGTATTTGAGGAAAGGATATAGAGAAGATCAGGGATCAGGGATCAGGGTCAAGGCATCAGAAGATATTGATTAACATTACATTTAAATATTTGAAGATTATAGCTATCGGGACGGAAGTAGAGGAAGGGAGTTGCACTGTCGAGAAGTGCGAGAGAAGAAGCTGTTGGAGTAGAAGAGGCGGTTACATTTAACTCTTTCGACAGTGAAAGGGTGGGGCGGAGATGCCAACATAGTAGTACGCTTAAATTCATGCAGGTGGGACACCATTGAAAATAGCTTAGAGCAGTTGTCATGAAAATATTTGTAGGTAAGGCAGAGTGAAGCCACAGCATGTCTGTGAGAAAGTAACTGTTGACGAGATGCCAGATCAGGACCTTTCACACTGCATATGACAAAACCTTGTAAAATGCCTTAGCGATATCCAAAGCAACTGCCTGACGTTCATTATTCTTACCTAAAGCTTCATATACTTTTTCAATAAACGTTCATAGAGAAGCCGAAACTATATTGCTTATCCGGAAGAAGATTCTGGATGCTTAACCAATTCAGAGTTAATTAGAGCATGTTCGACATAAAGAGGTAGAAGGCTAATACGCGGATAGTTAGAAAGAGTAGAGGCTTCGGCTGAATTCTTAAAGACTAGAACTACAAAAAGTATTTCCAACAAATAGGAAAGCAAACACCATTTATTGTAGAGTTTCAAGAGCACATTGAAGGAATATTGCAGGGATACCAACAAGTGTGCATGCTTTTAAGGATACAGTTCAAAGTAGAAACCATGGAAGGAGTTATATATACAGGGGTTTAATACCAAAATTGTCCAAATCGTGTAACAGCAAAAATGTCTAATTGTTAGATTAAGATTTGAACCGTTGTATCTTAGAAATGATTAAAGATATCTTACTGGAATATATATATATATATATATATATATATATATATATATATATATATATATATATATATATATATATACGGATGTAACAGCAAAGTTGTCTAATTATTAGATTAATCTTTGAACGGTTGTATGTTAGAAATGATTAAAGATATCTTACTGGAATTCTCCGATATTTTTGTACACTATTTTGAATAATAAGAATGTATTTAGCTCTAAGTTGAAATGATGATCCCTCTTGCTTTTGTGACATCCTGATCCAGTTTTCCTCTTTTAAAATTATTCACCGTTCTCTTGATAATTCTTGAATGGACTTGGAAATTGGAAGCCAGATAATTAATCTTGGTACCATTACTGAAAGCCTGTATGATCTTTTTTTTCCCCTCAGCATTGCTCAGTTGGGAAAATATAGTGAAGCTGGCACAAAACGATTTTAACCTTCTCTCTTTCTAGCTGAATAACTAAATCGGTTTTTCAGTGATTCTTTCCACAAATGGTGTCCAAATGGCTAAACCTCTTATCTGAAAACCTGGGTAAAAAGGAACTCAATTGGTTTATTGTTTTTTTTTATTTATTAAGCATTTAGTGGGTAGTTATCTTATACTATTACACGATTTGGACAATTTTGCTGTTACATCAGGTATATCACTCAATACAGGTTCCGTTCTAAGTAGAAAATGAGGCAAATATACTGCAGATGAGTCAAAAATGAATTTGGAGTGAATTTACAAGTAAAAGTGTTTGCTTCATCGGAAGATGTTACGGCCTAAAAGAAATGAATGCTGCATTTATGGGTTAAAGTGCTCCATATCACGGATAGAGGACATGTATAGTATAAATATATTAAGCTTCATGCTTAAACGCAATCTTTAGGCCATGGCATCAAAATTGTGTTTAAGCATCAGAGACTGTCGACGCTGGGTGTTGATACAATTGATATATATATATATATATATATATATATATATATATATATATATAGAGAGAGAGAGAGAGAGAGAGATAGATAGATATATCTGCTTTGAACAATAAAACATATGCAAAAATAAAAATATTCAGACATACTGGGTTGTATATTAATAGTCTTTCTTTTTTCTTATTATTTCAGTTAGATTATTCGACTAGTTTCGGCCAACATGGCCGTCATCTTCAGAAAAAAAATTCTGCTTGTTAGTAGTAGTGAATTACAGAAATGAATGTCTTGATGGAGAAAATTAACTTTTGTCTCTCGTTTTCATTTGTTTTTTTTATTTATTTTTAACGGGAATTTTGGTAAGCCCTTGTGCTGGTGAAACAGGCTATTTTAAGTTGTTATTTAAGATAAGCGCTGGATGGATTCATGAATTGAATATATATATATATATATATATATATATATATATATATATATATATATATATATATATATACTCAATCCATCCCAAGCACGTCGACAATGTCACTAAGACGCTACTGAGAGTGAAATAGATTGAAAAACTATAAATGGATTCGTTAACCAAATTTGAAGAACCAACAATAGGCGAACCTATCTATCTATCTATCTATCTATCTATCTATCTATCTATCTATCTATCTATCTCCCTTTCTCTCTCTCTATATATATATCTATATATATATATATATATATATATATATATATATATATAGATAGATAGATAGATAGATAGAGAGAGAGAGAGAGAGAGAGAGAGAGAGAAAGAATGTGGCAGAAATATCTGACACATTGTCACGTTTAATAAAAGTGAAATATTTTAAAAAATGAAAATGTGTTTTTATTTTCGAAATGTACACATAATCCCACTTTATTTCATTTTATTTTCAGTTGTTAACATGAACTGGATGGGCAAGGATCGTGCTTTTATTGTGGAAATGTTTATCAAGAGCAACGAATTGGTAACTGCAACACAAAGACCATTGACCCGCCCGATTACTTGATTTGAACCCATGCAATTTTTTTTGCTGTGTAGATACCTGAAATCAAACGTATGCACTCATCGCCCTCGATCTATTGAACAATTAAAAGATGCCATTCGTCAAGAAATTGCTACAATTCCGCTTGAAATAACCCGTCGAGTTATGGACATCTTTCGTGGGCGCCTTCGATTTATTCTTTTTTTAAACGTAATGAAAAAAATGGCGTTATATGTTCAGTCATTACTTTATTTCGGTTTTATTAAATCTACACATGTGGTAGATTATTTTACCACCCCCTCTATATATATTAATAATGCTTCCATTATTTTTGGTTATTTTACATGTGGATTAAGTTATTATATTTGTATTATTACGTAGTCTTCTGCGGATAGATTTACGTAGTTCTCGATATGTATTTAAATGAGACCTAAATGAGCTCTAACAGAAAATCTGCCATGAATGGTGAAACGTTGTAAGAACCTGAAAATAGAATGTGTCTGATTTTCTGTTATCAAAACGTGAGTTCTTTAATAACAAAGATGATGGAAATAAAAAGGAAAAAAAAATGAATATACATAAATTAAAAAAATAAAAAAAAAAAAAAAAATTATAAATTTTGAAACTCCCAGCATCTGCCGTTCGTAGCCATGTGTAGCCACAACAACGTAAATAAACCCAATCCGGTGAAACGCGCCACAGAAACTTTTTCCAATTTATCATATACCTTTTATTTTGAAAACTGTTCTTGATACAGTGTTGCCCGGATATAAGAGACCCGGATATAAGAGAAACCCGGATATAAGAGAGATTTTCTCTGGTCCCAAATTAGAGCCAGTGTTAATGTATATAAAATAGACCAAATCCGGATATAAGAGAAACTCGGATATAAGAGGTTTCTTCTCCGGACCCGACAACTCTCTTATATCCGGGTTACACTGTATATAAAAATTGATATAAAAAGTTATATTTTGTTATCCCACATATCATTATAAAACAATACAATTTTCGTTTAAATGTAACCGCTTTTGAAGGACTAATTGAAAGCAGACACCATTTTTTTTTTATTTGAACCTGATTTTTAGGGCGGTTTTAATATTTCTTTCTTCTCCATTTGCCGATATAAATATTTAAGATATTTGTTTAATTTGGGGATTTTTATAGTTATTTTTCTTTCTATTTTTCTCTATATGTTTTTTTATATATTTTTTTCTTTTCCTTTTTTTTTTTTTTTGCGTTTCTTCATTTCATATCTGGACTCGTTTTTCTTTCTTTCTTTCCTTGTTTGTTGAGGATCTAATCCTCTTGTACGTTTCTCACTTTCTATCTCGGTCAATACAGCTTATTCTTTTTAACATGACTGACACTTTCCATTCACTCTAATCAGCTGCATGACCAAATCCCGATTTGTGATAACCGACGTATTTCTCCATTTTTTTTTTTTAGTTGTTTGTCTGTATCTTTTCTCTTGTATTCGACGCCCCCCCCCAGCACCACCATCCGATTTTCTGCATATTTCTTTACACCGATCGTTTTACTTTTCATTTTTTTATTTTCATTTTATTTCTTCCATATATTTTTATTTATTTATTTATTTATTTGTATTTTCTGTTTATTCTATCGACAAATTTCTTTAATTTTCAAATTTCCTTTCTTTTCTGCAACATTCTCTCCCTTACCTCTGTTTTTTCTTTATCGTTTTTCATTACTTGCCAACCTGTTTCTTACAACGAATTTTTTTTATCGAATTAGTGGTTTTCTTCTTCTTCATCCTCCTCATCATCATCATCATCTTCATCATCATCATCATCATCATCATCCTCCTTATCATCATCTTCATCATCATCATCATCATCATCATCATCTCCTCCTCCTCCTACTCCTTCTTCTTCTTCTTTTTCTTCTTCTTCTTTTTGTATTCTCCGTGTGTTTCGTTCCTTCCGATATCTTTTCTTTTCCTTTCTGTATTTCATTTTTTCTTCTTTTTCTGCTTCTTCTTCTTCGCCTCAGGTATCTTCTTCTTTATTATTTGCTTCTTTTTTCCTTCTTGGGTTTCTTTCCTTCTCATTTTATTTGTTGTGTATATTTCTTTCGCCCTTTTCCTTTTCTTCTTCTTCTTCTTCTTCTTCTTCTTCAATTTCTTCTTCTTCTTCTTCTTCTTCTTCTTCTTCTTCAATATTATTCTTTTTCTTTCCATCCAGTGTTTTTTTCCGCTTTATCTTAGTTGTTGCATATCTTTCTCTATTCTTTTTTTCAATTCTCCTCCTCCTCCTCCTCCTCCTTCTTCTTCTTCTTCTTCTTCTTCTTCTTCTTCTTCTTCTTCTTTTTTTTCATCATCATTATTTTTCTCCTTGTTTCCTTGTATTTCTTCCCTTCTTTTCTCCTTTACAATTCTTCTTCTTCTTCTTCTTCTTCTTCTTCTTCTTCTTCTTCATTATTCTTCTTTTTGTTTCCTTCCAGTGTTTCTTTCCATTTTATTTTATTTGTTGCATATCTTTGTCTATTCCTTTTCTTTTTTTCTTCTTCTTCATCATCATCATCATTATTTTTCTCTCGTTTCATTTTAGTTGTTTTATACCTTTCTCTCTTAATTTCTCTTTTACAATTCTTCTTCTTCTTCATGAACCAAAATTATTTCTTGCCGCCATTTCCCAATTCAAAACGCATCCCCATTTTCTCCCCACCAGCCGACCTCTCATCGACTAGAACGGACACAAATGCCCAACACCTTCACAACAGCGCTTAAATATCCACCCTCACACCTACACAGATTTCCCTATTCCCTTACTTTCCCCCACCTTACAAACACTCTCGTCTTATAACCCACACAAATTTCCCGCCATAAACGAAATATAAAAAAAAATAATTAAAAAGAAAAATAACAAAACAAAACAACGAAAGACAAAAAATATAAAGAGTCTTCTTACTTCCTCACAATACCGTTTTTTCCGCTTTGGACAGACCACTTAAATAGTGAGTCTGTCTGTCTGTTTCTTCGTCCATGCTTTCTTCTGACAGTGTTTGTTCTTCTTCCCGAAGGAATTGTCCTAGCTCCAGTGGCCGTAACCCTTAACAATAGCAAAGCCCCAAACCTGAACCTCACCCTGTTCAGCTCCTACCATCTCTGAAGCCCAGACCCTGACTCTTATCCCTCTAAATCCGACTATCTTAGCTCCCAAAAGCCCTTCATTCCACCCTTTCAATTTTCTACCTCACCCAACATCCTTGTTACCTTTCATCATCTTATAACATCAGCGATCACCGACAACAACGTCTTCTTGCCAATTCCCGTTAAGACCACTAACAATTGACGGAATAACAACAATGCTAAACACAAAAGTATGTCAATACTGCCATCGTTTGTTCATGCATCATCCGACATCAGCAGTAAATTTATTTAGTTTTTAGTTTTATTTTTTATTTAATTCTGACCATATCGATCGCATCCCAATTTTTTTTTTTTTTTGTGATAGTTTCTGTCTCCTTTGCCCTGTCAACCTCCTGGTGGCATACCCAGCCGGCGTCGTCCCTGCACTTCACCATCACCTTTCCTGCTTCCTGCCTACAAACCCGTCTTCTTCACATGTGACCACTGCCCACTAAAAGTGCAGACGGCGAAAATGCTTTCTTAAATTACAAGAAACACTTTCGCTTTCAGGGATTTTTTTTTTCGATAATAAATTTCACATATTTCTCTCCCTCTCTCCCCAACACTCTCTCTCTCTCTTTCTCTCTTTCTCTCTATCCATTGATTACACCCTTTCTGTAACAATCTATTTTCATTCTTTTCCCGCATTCTTTCTGTCTTTTACCATGTATAACTTGTTTTAAAGATCTTTTTTTTTTCCTTTTCTCTTTTTCTGTTTATATTTCTTTGTCATTTTTTTCTTTCTTTATTTCATTTTCTTTTTCTTCGCGTTTTTTTAGGATTTTTTTAAAACTATATTTTTCCTTCTTTTTTAATCCACTATGCATTCGTATTTTAAAATTTTTATGTACGCAATTTATGTATGTGCTTTATGCATGCACTTTATGTATGCACATTATGTACGCACTTTATGTATGCACTTTATATATGGACTTTATGTACGCACTTTATGTACTCACTTTATGTACGCACTTTATGCATGTGCTTGATGTATGTGCTTTATGTATGCGCTTTATGCATGCACTTTATGTATGTGCTTTATGTGTGGACTTTATGTACTCACTTTATGTACGCACTTTATGTATGTGCTTTATGTATGCACTTTATACATGCACTTTATGTATGCACTTTATATACGCACTTTATGTACGCACTTTATGTACGCACTTTATGTATGCACTTTATGCATGCACTTTATATACGCACTTTATGTACGCACTTTATGAACGCTCTTTATGTACGCGCTTTTTGCATGCACTTTATGTACGCACTTTATGTATGTGCTTTATGTACGCACTTTATGTATGCACTTTATGTACGCACTTTATGCACGCACTTTATGTATGCACTTTATGTACTCACTTTATGTACGCACTTTATGTACGCGCTTTATGTACGCACTTTATGTACGCACTTTATGTACGCGCTTTATGCATGCACTTTATGTACGCACTTTATGTACGCACTTTATGTACGCTCTTTATGTACGCGCTTTTTGCATGCACTTTATGTACGCACTTTATGTACGCACTTTATGTACGCACTTTATGTTCGCCCTTTATGTATGCACTTTATGTACTCACTTTATGTATGCACTTTATGTACGTACGCACTTTTTATGTATGCACTTTATGTTCGCCCTTTATGTTCGCCCTTTATGTACGCCCTTTATGTATGCACTTTATGTTCGCACTTTATGTACGCACTTTATGTATGCACTTTATGTACTTTATTTATGTACGCACTTTATGTACTCACTTTATGTACGCACTTTATGTATGCACTTTATGCATGCACTTTATGTACGCACTTTATGTACGCACTTTATGTTCGCACTTTATGTACGCACTTTATGTATGAACTTTATGCATGCACTTTATGTACGCACTTTATGTATGCACTTTATGCATGCACTTTATGTACGCACTTTATGTACGCACTTTATGTACTCACTTTATGTATGCACTTTATGTACGCACGTTTATTGCTAACGTTCTGTTCACACGGTTGGGTTCTTCCTTGAATTTTCTTCTTAATCCAGATTATTTTTACTGCTTCTTTTTCCTTCATTCATTTCCTTCATTTTTATTTTAATTGTTTTATTTCATTATCTCTTTGGTTCTCTTTTTAATTCTTCTGTTTCATTCATTAACACTATTATTTTATTCCTTGTTTTTTCACTCCTTCATAATTTTCTAAACTTGTTTTTTCTTTATGATTGTCTACTATCTTTTTTTATCATTTGCATTTCCTTCTTTCTTTTCCCTTTTTTCTTATTGTGTTATTTATTTCTTTTTTATTAATTTTCTTTAGTTTTATTTTATTTTCCCTTTTTTCTCTATTCTTCTTCCTTGTTACGTTATACGTCCTTTTATTCTTTTTTCTTGCATATCATATTTCTTTCTTTTATTCTTTCATTTTTAATTCCGTATTATATATACCTGTTCCTTATTTGCTTTTCTTTCTTTGTTTCGTATGATTTTCTCTGTTCTTTATTTTACTTTCATTCCTTTCTTTTATTATCTCTCACTATCTTTCATTTTTCATTTGAGATTTTTTTATTTACATAGGTTCTTTTTTGTCTTTCAATCTTTCATCATTTAAGCTTTCTTTCTTTCTTTCAATGTCCTATTTTTCTTTCTTTCTTTCTTTCTTTCTGTTCTTTGTTTATTTGTTTCGTTCTTTCTTTCTTTCTTTCTTTGTTCCTGTTCTTTGTTTATTTGTTTCTTTCTTTCTTTCTTTGTTCCTTTTCTTTGTTTGTTTGTTTTTATTCTTTCTTTCTTTCTTTCTGCCTATTCATTACTTCTGTTCATTCTTTTTTTCTTTTATTCGATCTTTCTTTCTTTCCTTCTTTGTTCCTTTGTTTCTTTCTTTGTTCCTATTCTTTCTTGCTTCTTTCTTTCTTTCTTTCTTTCTTTCTTTCTTCTCATCCTTTCTTTCTTCCCATTCTTTCTATTCTTTCTTATTTATTTATTTATTTATTTTCCTAGTTCTTTTCATTTCTGCTTATTTTTATTTCTTTACATTTTGACTGCTCACTGTTCATTCTAATCGTTACTTTCTTTTTGATCATTCTTTTGTTTCTCATTATTTCTTCTTTTAAAATTTTATTGCTTTTTTCTTTCTTTTTACTTTGTTCTTTCTTTATTTCTCAGGTCCTTCTTTTCTTTTCTGATTATTCATTTTTTTTCTTGCTTTCTTTCTTTTTCGTCGATCATTCTTTTCCCTTCTGATTATCTTTTTTCCTTTTACAATTTTTATTGCTTTCCATTTTTTCATTTATTCTTTTACTTTTTTATTCTTTTCTTTTTTTTTGATCATTCTTTTGTTTCTGATTATTATCTTCTAAATTTGTATTGTTTTTTCTTTCCCTTTTCTTTCTTTATTTCTTCTTGATTTCTTTCTCAGAACTCGCCATAGATTATTGCGCAGTTAAATTTCCGATTTAGTTTAGTTGTAAAACTCCTTCCCATTGCATCATTCAATTTTCCTTTCACGTATTTCACTCGTTTTTCTTTTAAAATCCATAAAATGTAACATGAAGGTACAGTCGAATAATAAAAAAAGATTTCCAAAACTGAAGCAAAGTAATAGGAAACAAGAAAATTAATTAAACACAAAGAACAGAAACTCTTGTATTGTAGTGAATGCCGGACGATGTCCTTATAGAAGAAGGAGCGACTTGGCACCAAATATATGGTTCTACAGAAGAATTCTGAGAATTCCGGGGATGAAGAATTCCTAGAAAAATGAAAACAAAAAGGATAATTAGAATTAGAATTTGAAAGAGACTGCTAAAATTACTTGAGGAAGGAGAACTTGGATAATTTGATACTCCCAGGACGTCGAACACAAAAGGGAGAGGGTAAGATAGCAGCCACATAATGGCGCGAATTTCTGTGCAAATGGATGATCGGTGGTTTGTGGGGTTGATGGTCAAAAACAAAGTTTACAATGAGCTACAAAGAATAGAAAGATGTGGAGAGCCACGATCGTGTACGCATTGAAGCAACATTTATAATCATCAAGCGATGTTATTCAGATTTCAAATAACCCCCAAATTCCATCTTCTATTGTCTTCTAGGGTATTTCAATTGGATAAAGAATCGTAATACACCATAATACACCTATCGAGGCGGCAATGAATCTTAAAAATCACGGCTTATGCAAATGCAGTGGGAAGGAAAACCTTTTCATGACCAATAATCTACCCATGTGAAAGGATGTAATGCTGAATAATCTCATAACCAATCAATGGTTATGTAGTGCGGGATTAAAAATGTATAAATAGTTCCAGTGAGTTTAAAAAGGAAAATATAGACTCACGAGCCACACAGTAAGAAAAAACAAATATATGCAAAGGTGTGTGTAAATAATATATATATATATATATATATATATATATATATATATATATATATATATATATAACCATCTGCAGTGACACATGCGAATACTTCAAGACGGGATCGAAACCAAACAGCTTAGACGTCAATCAAAGACTCTCAAACGTAGACCATCAGCGAACGCTTTCAAGAAATGGGATTTTTAACACACACACACACACACACACACACACACACACACACACACACACACACACACACACACACACATATGGATATTGACTCATAAATATAGCATGTCTTAAAACAAACTTTTTAGCATATTATATATATATATATATATATATATATATATATATATATATATATGTAAGCAAATATAGGGATATAGATCCGACACTATGAAGAAAAAAAAATGGTAAAATTCGTATTGAAACGGAAGGCTGGTCTTGAAAAATTTCAGTTATCTGCTTTGATTAGTCTTACTCTTATGTCCATCGTCTTTTTCATGTTGAATTGAATATAGTCTAATGTTAATTATGTTGTATGAATATGTCCTGAAGATGGTCTACTAGACCGAAACGTCCGACATTGACATTATATTAACATTAAAACAGCATAATTGCATATTAGGATTTTTGTTTGTTTTTCCGTATATTTTTTTCTATATATATATATATATATATATATATATATATATATATATATATATAGAGAGAGAGAGAGAGAGATAGGAGGCAAGGATAGCGGCCCGGGTTGTGGAATCGGAGAGCAGAGTTCGAATTCCAGTCGTGCTAATACCCTTCCCCCTCCCAGCTATGGATAAATAGCAGGACAGTCTGAGTTCTATAACTTTGGATGGCAACTGATCTAGAAGGACAACTCTGAATTGAAAATCTGCGGAGGGTCGTTTGGGGAATTTTGTGGCACGCGGTGCACCAGATCTCTGTATTCGGCCCTTCAAAAAGTGTGGTTGGTTCTGCACAAAGCCTCCACCGCTATAAACAAATAATTTGTTCAGGTAGACTGGCTGTCAGTTTCTGAGAAATGAGTTGCTTGACAATCATATGTCGAAAACGACGGGGGAGTCCATTACAAACCCCACACACACATATATATAATTTGATAAAAATGTACTTTTAAAGCATTTGTTATATTTCTTTCATAATTATGATACATGGCTGTCACCCGCCTATAGTTTGTATTAATTTCTTGTCTGCCATACATGACCATGTTTCGGGTTCTATTTCCGACCACATTTTACCGTGATCAAAATTCTCTTTGTTCTTTTTAGGTTATCTTTAAATTTAGCGTAGGTCTGATACCAAATTGGTTAATCAGGTTAAACCCATAAAACTCATTTTAATGTTTATTTGGTGTTATCTCATTTGTCTTTTCTCTTTAAAAAAATGGAGTGGCTATTCGTCATTTGAAATTTAAAAATCATTATTTACTCACCAGTTTTATACCATCGCCTGAAGAGGCACATTTTTAGTGCTGAAGCATGAAAGCTGTGTTGTATAGCCATTTTGAACACGTTTAGTTTTAATCTCCATATATATATATATATATATATATATATATATAAAGAGAGAGAGAGGGGGGTACAATCGATAATAATGTCTTCATAAACTTCTACTCCCATCATAACAAAAAAGTAAATTCCGAAATGATCATTGGATTTCTATTTAAGTGCACTTCGAATTTGCAGCCCTCACTATTTACAGGAACAGGAGTAATATAGTGCAAATACATTCAAGAAACTTCACTATCCTATTTTATTTTCAATACGAAACTAAAGACACATAAAATATTCCCAAATAAGAGAGTTGTTAATCCTGACAAATGTAACGAATCATATATATATATATATATATATATATATATATATATATAGAGAGAGAGAGAGAGAGAGAGAGAGAGAGGGGGGAAGGGAGAGAGATCATAGTCATCATTAATAATCTGTACCTATGACTAAAATATTTCTTGTTATATTACGTAAACTGAGTTCAGATTTATCGAAATATCTATCGAAAGAGACAGATTAATAAATCTAGTTATGAAAATGCCCCTTGTGTGGCCAATAAATGCACTAATAAATTCTTTTACAAATCTAATATACGGTTTCTTTACAGACTCTGGATTTCACATTCATTTAACAAATATTTGCTAATATTTGTCTCTTGTTCTGTGTTCTCTCCACCCAGCTTTCATGGACATTATAATGTCTCTTTTCTTTTTTCTTTTCTTTCTCTCACGTTTATACAATCTCTCGAAGAAGTAGTACGAAACTACACTCCTAATACTTCTTTATATTTCTCTATCTATCCTCTAATTACCCTTCTCCGTCTTTCTTTCTTTCTTTCTTTTTTTTTCTTTCTTTCCCTATATTTTATCTCTCAATCTCATCATCATTCTCCCTCTGTTTTGCTCAATTTTCTCACTATTTTTCATTAACATTCTCCCTCTCTATTCTCCCTTTTCACGTGTTTTGTCTCCCTATATTTTCTCTCTCATACTCATTGCTCATCTTCCTCTAGTTTCCTCCATTTTTTTTGGCGTTTTCTTCCTCTGTTCTCTCTCTCTTTCTCATAAACCTACCCTCTCTATTTTGTTCTCCCTTTGTTTTTCTTCTCTGTATTTTCTCTCTTTCTCTTTATTCTTCTTCCTTCATTTCGCTCCATTTTTCTGTCTTTTTTCTATATATATTTTTTCTTTCTTTTTTTATTGATATTCTCCCTCTTCGTTACTCCATTTCTTCCCTGCATTCTCTATATGTTTTCTCTCTGTTTCTCATTGCCCTCTCCGGTCTATTTTGCACCCTTTTTTTTCGGGTTTTTCTCCCTATATTTCTCTCTCATTTTCATTGCTTTCTCTTTGTATTTCTCTCTTATTTTCTCTTGTATTTCCCTTCTTCTTCTTCTTCTTCTTCTTCTTCTTCTTCTTGCTCCCCCTCTCTCTCTTTGACATTCCATCTTTAATATTCACTTTCTTTTCATTATATTTATTTTTCTCTCTCCCTCACTTCCACTATCTTTGTACTTTCTCTTTTTCTCACTCTTCATTGTCATTCTATTTTTCAATACAGAGGCACGATGTTATATGTTCTCTCTCGAGTTCATAATTCCATTATTATGCATATTCACTCCCACTTAATGTCTTACCCCTAGCTCCCCTTTGTGTCTTTCCGCCTCCCTCTTAATATTTTTCTATATATTTCCCTTTTTATCGCCTGTTCTCTCTCAATATCAGAGTTATGATATCCCTGAAATGTCTTCTTGACACAATATACTTTTCCATCGATAAGCTTTTCGTATTTCTTTGTATCTGTCTCATTTTCTTTTCTTTCTTTCTTTCTTTCTTTCTTTCTTTCTTCTCTAATGTCCTCTTCACGTTTTTTCTTCTTTGTTTTCATTTACCTCGCTTGTATTCTGTAAATAAATTTCTGTAAATCTATCCAGAATAGTTACTCTCCAAGCCAGATTATTTTTGCATAACATAATGCGGATGAAGAAATGAATGTATTTTGCAGGAGCGGAAGGACGTCCTCTATTCAAAATCAAAATTACGTCTAACATGGAATATTCAATATGTACCTAGCCTGTGACACTGCATTCGTCCAGTCGGTAGTTAAGCTCTTGCCAAACACGCTGTAGCATGTCTCCTGTAACATTATCCAGTGCAGAAGTGATTCTCTGCTTGAGTTCATCAATGCTAGCAGGAGTTAGGACATAGATCAGTCCCTTCATATATCCCCCTAAAAAGAAATCACATGGAGACAGGTCTGGTAACCGCGGCGGCCATTTCATCAGAAAACTCTCTTCATCTCCACCGCACCCGATCCAACTCTCTGGCAGATTATCAAATAAAACTTTAAGTATAAAATCTTGATCAGATTCTATATATTCTGTAAAAACTTGGTTATTTCAACAAGAATTTCTAGATTTATTGACCTGCAAATGGATGTCAAATTATTTGTAACACACTGTATATCATAAGTTTTTGAAGCATTTACACCTTAATATAGTAAGAATTCTTCTCGATAACAGCCAGCAATCCATTAATTTTGTTAATTTTTTACTTCAGCAGGTCCAATTCCCAGTTGGTGGTTTTAATTGCTTCCCATGGGTTTGCTTTTCTGTTATATTGTTTGTCAACTTCATATAATTTCCTCTTCACGACAGTCCATAGATTTTCGATCGGATTCAGAGCGGGACATGATTGTGGCCATACAATTATCTTCTCTTCTCTAAACCTTTTATACTCAAAACATTCACGTGTAATCTTAGATACGCAAGAAAGAGACTTGTCATGCGTAATTACACCTTTGAAACTGCAAGGCTGAAACTTGTACCATTCAAAGTAATCTTGTCCATGACATTGGAACAGTTAACACTGTTTAGTTTAACTGCTTCATCAAATTTTAATGGTTCAGTAATGGTTTGGCAGACAATTCCAACGCATATCATCCTACTGCTGCCTCCTTGTTGTATATCCGCATCAAATAAATTCCATCCTTTGGCACACCCATCAGATATAAGGGTCTGTCATTAAGGCGGATCAAAGTCAGCACTAAGTAAATCAGGGTGATTTTTGAATTTTTTTCTCTCTTGGGTCATGTTATTTAAGTCATGACAATTTTGTGTGAAAAATAATATCGCCCAAATGTCCGTCAAATCTGAAAGAAAAAGAAAAAAAATCATTAGACGCTTAAACTTAATTCACATTTAAAATCGGTCCAAGTTATTGGAACACCCTTTATTATGGAAAAAAGAAACAATAGTTTTATTAGATGCCTTAAAATTTAATGCTTAAATTATATTAAGAGTAATCTGTAACATCAGACTGCAGGTTTGATAATAAATCCATTATTTTTCACTTTGAAACTGCCTAAAAGATTTGTTTTGTTGTCTAAATTAACAAATTAGCATTTGACAAACATTTTCGAAGCAAATTTGAGTTACTGATGGTTAAGTGATTTGCATAATAATTTCAGACGGACTGCCTATTTTATTAACTCTTTATGTAACATCTTCGTAAGTAAAACTAATTTTCACATTAACACATGTGCCATTCGTGATACACGCTTAGGCGATCATGTATCTTTCAGTACATAACTGACGAGGCAGATTTTTTCCCGCAGTAGGTTGCCAATTATTTCTGAGGTAGACCAGTTGCCATCCAAGACTATAGAACTCGGTCTGTTCTACTATTTACACATAACTGGGGTGGGGAGAAAAAGAGTCTTCATAGCTTTCCTAAGGGTATCAGCACGCAAGTAAATGTGAAAGATTCGGCTGGAATTCAAATTCGGCTCTTCGATTCCTTGATCCGAGCCGCTATCCATTACTCCACCGTAAAGGAGTTATAATCCCCACACAGACATCACATCAGTTCTTGATAATGACTGAAAAATTTGAAAGGGCTTGAACAAAAAAAGAAAAAAAAGAAATTCGGACAGTTTTGCCACAACTTTGAACATAATACCCAACACCTTATCTAAAAAATTGGAAAAATATAATATACAGACATTGTCGGTTCTATAATTCAGATTGATCATAGTAATATCAAATATTAAAACTGATCCACAAAGAGAAGCCAACTCTGTTTATTAAAACAGAGAATATATATTACACAGCAAAAAATCCAAAATTCCCTCATGTGGGTACAGCTTATTTCAGCCGGCGCAACCTTCATACAGCCCCAACTTAGTATCATAAGGTTAATATCGGGGTCGATTCCAGCGGGCCTTTTCACCCATTTTTAGAGAGATATACCCCCCGGCCTCTCCTCACCACCAACACGGGCTTTTTATCTAGCTGAGGCTTCCTTTTGGGTAGACTCGGTATCTTTTCCCCGACTGCTATCTAAAGTAAATTATAAATCTCAGAATCCGAGACAATGGACTTGTCTGGACGTCCAGCGTTGAAGAAGACTGGCACAAGGTTGCACCGGCTGAAATAGACTATAACGACATGAGGTAATTTGGGATTTTTGTTGTGTAATATATTAGGTTGGTGCAAAAATAATGACATAAGAATGTCGTTTTTTGACGTTAAAAATACGTCAAAAAACGACATTATTATGTCATTATTTTTGCACCAACCCTATATATATATATATATATATATATATATATATATATATATAGAGAGAGAGAGAGAGAGAGAGAGAGAGAGAGAGAGAGAGAGATATCTATAGAGAGAGAGAGAGTGAGAGAGTAATACTAACTATTTCCTTATGTTAGCACTCGTCATGTAATGACGAAACAGCAAGTGGTATTATCAGTCGATATTTATCAAATAATTACATTAAAACAATTTTTAAGCAAAATATTTTCTCTGGTTTTATAATTATTATTTCTTTTTAAATAATTTATTTTAACATTAATTAGCAGTTAGCATTAATTAAGTACTTGCAATGGATAAATTGACGCTTTAAAAATTAAAGTGATATTGTAATTTTAACAGATATATTTACCAAAATTACACGAAAATATCTTGAAATAATAAAGAATAAATTTATTCAATAATATCGCCATTGACTTCAACCAGAGCCTTCACAGGAATTTCTTTATTAAAAAATTATTTTTTTGATGCTCACAGAGAAACTTAACCATAATATTTATTACCAGCCTCTTAGTCAGCCCTTAATTTAGAGCAATATTTTCATGCCTCTTTAGTTCCCCTAAAAGCTCGCTTTCAATGCCACAACCCAAAGCCCGAAGCCAATGGAAATGACCCAGATGCGTTACGGTGCAAATTGGGTCAGTTAATGTCCATCACATTATAGGGAAGATGGAGGAGGAAGGGCTGTAAATAGACGGATGATGGCAAGCTGCAGGTGCACAGGCCAGGGTCGGCTTGCCGTTGTCGGACAATTAAATCTCAGTGTCCTTCATCGAAATTCCTGCAGCCTAATAGGCTTTTCTTCTTTTCGATTTCTTTCCCTTTTTCTCTCCTGTTTGTATTCCTCGTCATCATTCTTGCATTTGGACCGTTTTTCTCTGTTTATACTCCCTTCATTTTGCGTTTCGTTATAATACGGGACATTTTCCTTCAAATGGATGTACTATTTTTCATCTTTCTTCTTAATTAGTCAATTTCCTTTTTTTTTTTCATTTTCAATTACTTTCTTTTCTTTTTCTTCGTATGGGTTGTACATCAAATGAACAGCTCATGGTGTGAACTATCAACTACAGTCACCAAAATCAAGCAATTGCTGTCTAGTTCCTCTGCTATGTATTTCATGGTTCTCGATTGTTGTGACCAAGTAAATGGTTAAGTAATAACAAAAACCAGGTTTGAAGATATATCGTATATTAAACAGTAAGTACATCAGAAGAGTATTACACGACTAGTAAGAGTTTATCGAATGAACTAGCGTTCAATTTTATCCCCTGTTCACTGTTCCTCGAACCTTCTCTCCTACTAATCTTATAGTAGGTGGAAGAGTCTAACATGGAGGACCACCACAACATCGATAAAATAAAATGAAGTATCTACAATATTATTGGTCTTGACCTGGCAACTCGGCGTCTGTTACTTTCTCACCGCTGGAAACTTATTTTCACTGCGCTTATTTTTCGATGTTTTTCCTGCAAATCATTCCTCCTAGATTTACGAATTTAAGCGCAGTACTAGATTTGAGGCAAAGCCTCATTATTTTACTGTTGAAATGGTTAGATGTAGCCGTAAATGCTATGATAACAGTTTCTTTTCCCGCACTTTTTTCGCTTGAAGAACGTTCTTCCGGTTTGTTGTTTTCCAATCAACTTTGATCTTCAAAATTTAAATTCAGGGTTTGTCTATCTCCTTACCCCTTTGAACTTTGCCTTCCTAAAAAGATTTAACCCTTCTGCCTGAGTCAAATTTCGCAAATAATTGGTATGTAATTTTTCACGGTAGCTACAAAAATAGTTCCAAGTGTTTACCCACCGTTCAACTAGTACCTGGGCACTAAGTAATTTCTCTACCACTGT